TTGTACTGTATACTGTACAGAGGTTTACTTGTCTTAATTTTATCATATTTATCTCATCTCTTATGTGTTATATGTTTATACTTTATACTTTTTTTTATATATATATATATATACTGTATTACAAAGACGAGAGAGGAACAGGATTTCGATTCCCTTGTATATTATGAACACAGAGGGAACTGACAATACAAGCCGATTTGATTTGATTTGATTTAAAGCTTTTTATGATTAGTTAGGTAGGTAGAGAAGTTTAAATAGGCAATCATATTATAGGGTCTGGAACAGATTTAATTCATTTACATTATTTCTTATGGGGGAATTTAACTTAGAACTCGACCAAATTGCAACTCGACCAGCCTTCTGGAATGAATTAAGTTGCTGTTTCAAGGTACCTCTGTATTATGTTTGTGCCACAGCGAGTGTTTAGAATTTTGGCCAATAATCTCTATCTGGGTCTCATCAGACTGCAAAATCTTGACTGAAATGTTATCTGGGTCATTTTCTTACTTTCTGGAAAACCTGACATGCTTTCATATCGCTCTTCTGATTGAGGTCTTCATTCTAGCCACCCTCCCACACAGGCCAGCAGTACTCACTGCTGCAGTATGCAGTACGCTCTTGACATGGTTGATTGGTGCACCTTTACTCCACCCTCAGCCACTGAGCTCTGTAGCTCCTTCTGAGTGGCCGTTGGCCTCATTTTGGCTTTGCTCCCCAGTCCCTTTGTATCACTACTGAGTTTTGAGGGATAGTACTGTAGGTTTGGTGTGGTTTCCACCTTCTCAGGATTGATCCAGCAGTGGTTACCAGGATGTCCAACCTCTTGGGAATTTTTGTAATCTATTCTAAATGTATGCAGTTTGATTAGTTTGTCTCTGACTTCCTTATAATGCTCTTTAGTCTTTGTGAAGATTTGATTTATATAATTGAAGCCGATTCCCACCCAGTGGCAACCTTTACAGGGTGTCTGATTAGAACACCAAAGCTATGGCATTCCTCTGATGGGGTTAATTATAGCTTGTTTAATAGCCACATCAACATCAATGCCGCAGAAAAAGTCCAGATGAGATATGCATTGGATAATTATGTAATTGTGCTTTAGCAAAACAGAAAATAACAAACATTTGAAATAACCTATTATCGCAGCTCATGAAGAACATAAATCTCTAAACATTTACCAAATGTGGACAGTAAATTGTCAGGACTGCGGGGCAGGCGAGCCAGAAAGCAGGCGAGCGGAGCCGTGAGGTCGGGCAAACAGGGTTTATTTGGAACGGAGGGTAGACAGGCACGAACATCCACTGACACTACAATGACGGATCTGGGTAGACTGACTGAGACAAGGACTAAATACAAAAGACAAGCTACGGGTAACGAGCCACAGGTGAGAACAATCAGGGAATCACATGAGGTAATGAGGTGGGCGTGGCACACATCGGGATCGAACGGAGCGGATCGTGACATAAATGATATTAAACATTTCCATCATGATACGGATGAAAGCATATAATAAACCGAGCAACATAATGTGGATCTTGAAGAGCGTGACAATGCTCACTTTAGATCATACAAACATATAATACAATAAATGTTGCTGCAAATTATATTTGTGATACACAAATAATCTGCATACTTGTTCTGTATGCATGCATAACTACACCATGCATCCAACGATAATTTTGGGAGAATTACAGCATATTAACTAATCTTCTCCTACAGCTGAGGAAAAGGAAAAAATAAAACCTAACATGGGGTCCTTCATGATGCAAACTTAACAGCCTTTTCTACAGTCTTAATTTTCGCTCCTGGTCTTATAGTGATTGTCATTGGCGTTACAAGCAAGAGATGTAACATCAATGACAATGACACCAATGACAAAATCCCATAAAAGATGCATTTACCAATATGACGTCAAAGGCATCTTGACCTATCAGTAATTACAATAAAATCAATTTATTATTGTCATGTAACACCAATGACACAATTAAATGAACTGTGTGACAAAACACTTGAATTTAAAGGTAAATTTGTAACTCATAGAACGTGTTGATACTCACTGTGTACGTTTCAGCAGCCTGTTCTTCCCGCAAACCTTGATTTAGGAAACACTTCTCCATAAATTCATGTACAGACACTATACTTATTGTAACCCACATAAATAACACGGTTACAAATGGAGAGAAGTCTTCCATAAATAAATGTTATTATTTAATAAAGTTTTTCATTATTATTATTTTTAAATTATTTTCATGTACGGAGAGAAAAAAAAATATATCCCGTTTTATCAAAAAGCGGCGCGAGTTTTTTTATACAATCTCTTCTTCTCTGCTTTAGTTTTGGATGGTGGGGGCACAGGCGTGCACTTCTCCTTGCAAGAGAACCCAGCATAGTGATTTATCAGAACTTTATTTTAATCGAAGATTACATTGTGGTTAGAAGATCGCTTACCTTATGTTTGAATCCCCCTTTTCCATTTTTTGATAACTCCGATTGTTTTTTTTTTTGTCCTGGAACATCGTACCCCATTGGATGGCGAGCCAGTCCCGATAGATCCCAAGTATCACTGGATTTGAAATACGGACTTCTTTCAGATAAGATTTTTTCTCTTTTTTTTTTTTCTTTTTTTCCCCCCCTTATCTTTCCAATAATCACCCGGGCGGTGTATTTCACTAATATTTTTGTTGTTTATTATTTTCTCGTGAACTGAAATTTGCATACACCTATCTTGGAAATCTTTTCTGTTGTTACTTTTTTTGTTTTATTTTTTTCCGAAGCTGTAATTTGTATGGATTTTTCAAATCCTTTGTTTATTACTTGAATGATTATTATTTCAAGAATGATAGTTTGATGCATATATACATTTCTTGAGATTTTATACATAGCCTTAAATATTAATTTATATTTTCTTTTGGTGAATTGTATAATAAATTGTTAATTACACTTTAATTTAAAAGAGAAGCAAATCTTTCTTATTCTGCCTGGCCGAATCTGGAATCTTAGATGTGTACAATTGTACCTCACATTTGGATATAAAGTGCTATACATTATGAACTTTCAACTTACGAACTTTCAAACATACAAACAAAGAGGACTATAAGTCCAAATTGTGTTCCTTGTCCGCAACATCAATTTTTTTTTCTGCACACCAATTCTGCCTAGTACGACTTCTGGCCGGTACTCCTGCCACGCAGCAGCATAGCCTGTGTATACTCCCAGCATCCTAGTTGTTTGTACTTGCGTATACCCATAAAATTATGTTGAATAACGACTTACGAACATTTCAAGTTACGAACGGCTATTCGGATCGTATCTCATTCGTAAGCAGAGGAGCGTCTGTACTTTCAAAATATCTGTTTTAATATCAGTATCACTAATGACATGAAATTAAAGGACAAAAATACATTTGAAATAATTAAAAAATATATTTTGTTTTCTTCATTTAGTAGTCCTATATTAAATAAACAAGGCATTGACATCAAGTCTAGGTACATAAAATATATGAAATTTTTTTTAATACCAGTAAATGTCACTTAAGCTCTTCCACCCATCCCTCCCTCCATCCATCCATCCATCCATCCATCCATCCAGTTTATGTTAGAAGTGAACTAGCCTATAGGCTACTCATACATACAACAGGACGAAAATCCATTAGATTTGTGTTAGACGTGAATGTTATTCTCCTTCTCAGTCTGTTAACCTCACATCAGAGTACAGACTACAGTCTTCTGTCTCTCTCGTTTTTCTTCGACTTTCTCCTTTCTTCTGAGTGAAGTGCAGGGCGGCGTAATTTAACATCTCCGCATCAGTATTCTGTGGAAAATGGGAGTCAAGTTCAATAAAAGGAAGAAATCAGGTCAGGTGTGTACAGTGACAAAGGGTCATAGAATATTGACTGGCTGTTTACCTGACTGTTTGTTTCCTTACGGTCTTTGAGGTGCTCCACCTCAGACTCACAAGCTATTAATATAAAGAGGAACGAATCGTTAAAATATATGTTTTCAATAAAATTTAAATCATTTAATCAAAGTTGTTTTATTGCCCCTTTTAATTATAAATCGTATCAACTGGAAAAAGTCTGAAAAACCATCAGTTCAGGCTGAAGAAAAGAGCAATACCTGTGAATGGTTTTAAAGGAAGGTTTTTTTAAAAAATTCGAAGCTTTAGCATAATAGCCTTATTGAATTAGTTTTTCTGTTAGGTCTACTCAGTTCGACTCTAGTATACAAATTTTTTTACTCATTTACTTGACTGATCTTTTTGCAAATACCCCATTCCCAAAAGTGTTTTTACAATTCTGAATATCTCTGCAATAAATTGATCACTTATCATTTAGCTTTGCATCGTCACCATGATATATACTAACATAGCCTACCTGCACAATGCTCACAGCAGGTCCTCTTATTTCTTGTGCAGGCCAATGTAAAAATTACAGTCACACACAAAACTAGTGCAGCTCCCATAATTATAGGAACTGTATTGCAAAGTCCTGTAAGAAATTGAAAACATTTATTCCGATTGATTCCGATTTATGCCGATTGATTTATATAAAATACATTCATCAATTATCAGTAACAGGCATTATATAAAGAACATAACAACTTACATATTTATGGTAATGGTTTCAGTTTATTATTTATGTGATGCTTTCATCTACAGCAATTACAGCATAGCGTTGCAATTTATGTGCGTTCTTTGGGATTTGAACCCAAAACCGATGCATTGTTACCACAATAAACTATTTATTGAGGTACAGGAGAACGGCAAAGCTGTTCTTCACTGTTCAGTTTGACATAAACGTTTTCATTCTGCTTCTTTTATTATATATTGTTGTTCTCTGTTTCCTGTTCAATATTATCATGATCAGAACAATGTTATACTTTTTTCTCCTTATTTTTATCATTAATCTTTGTTGTTGTTATTTTCCTTCACTGTAATGTTTGCAGTATAAGATCACTGAAATATGCAGTATATGTATTTATTTACATTGAACTATAAATTTACTAAAGCCTCTTCAACGTACCAAAATCTGCTGTTGTGTCAGATGAAAACAAATGCAAAAGTGCAGCTCCATACAAGTGACTATTTCTATTATTCCGTATGTATAATATCAAAAATGGGGAATATACCAAATGATATGATCAAAGTCACATTTATCAGAAAATAATGTTTTAATTACTTGGATGTGGAAATGGGAAGGCTTATCTACATTATTTTTGCGTAATGTACGCAACATATCAATAATGGAGCAATTAATTCATTTTGCATGAACAAAGCTTTTATTAAAAACTTACCTTCTACGTCAACCTTTGTCCCATTGCCAAACAGCATCTCCCCACACATGGCCACAGCGCAGTAGTAAGTCCCAGCATCAGAGAGGCTGAGGTTCCTCTTGGGGAGGCTGTAGACACAGCTCCGTGTAGGAGATCCAGCCTCAGGGCTCTTCTCACACTCATCACTCCTGTTTCCATGGCTGTAAATGACTCCTGGAAGGGATTCTCCTGATCCATGTCTGAACCAGTAAACACTGTGTTCTCCTGCACAGCTCCCAGTCTCTATTGTACACTGCAGGGTCACAGAGTCTCCTGGCTGCACTGTGTCAGACACAGGATGCTGCTCAACTATCCGATGAATGGGCTGTTTTTCAGTGCCTGTTGGACAATTATGAAATGTTGACTAAATATTTCTTTCTGAATTAATTCATATCAGTATAATCATATTAAAACCTGAGTTTTTGCACCTTATTTTTTGGTAAAGCAAATTATTATGTGACTTTATGTAATTAGTAAATAACAGTAAGTAACAGCAATTTGAAATAGAGATTTACCCCTTATTCTCAGAAAGGTTCCTGCTCCAAAAAAAATGGTAACTATCTTCCTTGTTCCACAGTAATACATCCCTGAATCTGCTGGTTCTGTCTTTAATATTATTAGCTGATTCGTTTCCCCATCTTGCTTCACTTCATAGTGTGTGGAGTTGGAGTTGAATGTCTCTTGTGAGCGAGATGTATGAGATGCTGCTATTAGAAACGGTCTCTGGCCAAAATTTAGCTTAAACCAAAACACAGAATACGCACTCTCCTTGGGAAATGAACATTCCAAAGTCACATCTTCTCCAGCTTCAACTGTCAAGAAAGGACTAGACTGAAACACCACATCACTTGCAAAATCTGAAACAAGAAAATACAAATAAAAATGCAAATATTTTTATGCAGGAGTATATAGTTAAAAAATACCACATTAGCTTAAAAAATATAGTGATAAGCATGTCACTTATAATATACATGCCACATTTTTGTAGATATGCTCAGTGTAAATTATGTAAACATAATTTCCAATTATTTCAATGTGCACAAAATGAATATTTAAAATTATTTACTATTGCAGCATGTGGAATATGTGTAGTGATAGATCGACATTCTCAGTTTCACTTACACAATTCGCTGAAATAAGCCAGAATTACATAGAGTCTGATCATCTTGAGAATGTTGCTCCTGTGTTTTACTGCACACTGACTTCACAACAGTTCTGTCTATCAGGTGAATGAAGGTGTGGCTAAACTGGGGTTTTTGATTGGTGCAATTAACCACATGACACTTATTTTATTAAAATGAACTTCTGCTTTGTTTCATTAGTGAGACCATTTATGGCAGTGGTGAGAAACAGGTGGAAGCAGCTCCCCCTACAGGCATGTTTCAGAAAAATACAGGCCTCCCTTGAGCTAGGAGACAGGAGTCTCTGCAGGACCATAAAGCGGAATAGGTGCCACCTTGGAATACAAACCCGACTTTGGCATGCACAGAAAAACAATCGAAGCGACATATTGTTTTACAGTGTGCAACACACAGAAACTGTGTTTTGTGGAAATGCAGTGCAAGAGTTTCGTGAAGAGAATGTCAGAATGTTCTAATTGTTCAGAAAAACAATTAGAAGGGTTTACGCCACACACAATTAAGCAAAGATATCGTGCCACATCACACCGAAATGCAGTGGCATCTTTGCTCTGTTAAACTGGCTCATTTTCGAAAAGTATGTGCTGAAATCATGCCACCATGAAATGTAATCACTGTCCAGTCACAGGTATGTAGCAAGCAATGGGCATGGTCGCGGAAACCGGGCTGGGACAATTGCGTAAGATCTAATCGATGAGGTGACGGCCACTATACGACAGGCTACAGCCAGAACCACTACACCCCAGCTGTGCCCAGCTGCCTCACTTCAGAATCTGTATTACAGAAATATTTAGGTGAGAAATATCTTCCCTGCTCCAGCAGGTAGAAAGTGACGCTGTTAGTCAGGAAGTGGCTCCTGGAATAGCAGCAGCAGGAAGTGGCTGTAGCTGGCCATTGGATGGAAGAGGCTAAAATTGACAAACTGTTATTTCTGCACCATGTATACAAGTAGACATGACAAATTTAAGACTGAACAGTTAATTAATATATTAATTCATATACAGGGGAAACTGCTTACAGTGATCATGGTTATAGTGATCAACCACTTATATGGATGAAACAGCTTGGCACAGAATCATTCTTGTACAAATAATGTTTAAATAATTTGCTTATAGTAATCAAATAGTCTGCTTACAGTGTTTACGTCTTTTTATACATAACAACATATGAAAAAAGTTCAAATTACAGAATTTTTTTTTTTTTTTTTTACTTGCCTACTTTGCTTTGCAAAAACCCACCTTCTTCTGGCTAGCTACCTGAGGCTAATGCTGTGTGCACAGAAAACATGACAGGAAAAAGAAAGTTATTTTATCTCAATGACAAATACATATTCATCAAAGCTTATTATAAACTGCCGAAAAAGAGCCAATGAGACCCAGCAGCTAAATTTTATGTGCAGTACTGGACTGTATTATACTGTACTTGAATTATACACAGTTCAGCATATTTAATTTGTTCAGTACTGTAATTTGAAAAGCATTTGAAAGAGATGTACTGTGTTTTGAAAGCCAGTAAAATTCAATAAATAACAACGCTGTCCATTTTATTACCTTTTATTTATGTAATAAATCTACATATGTCAATTAGATGGTAATCTGCGTGAGACATGAAGAAAAAGGAAAAAAATCGGTTATAATGATCATCCGCTTATAGTGATCAATTTCACCCAGACAGACGTGATCACCATAAGTGGTTTCCACTGTATTTTAACTTGATAGTGATGCCATCACCGCAAGGGTAAATTTTAAGTATAGCCTTTACTGCACATCGGCCTCTTCCATCCGTCCACTTACAGTTCGCACTAATACACCAAAGATTTGTGTGATCGTTAGCGTGAATTCCTTGCCCCAGAATACATATTTGAAACTGCTCCAGAATAGACATGAGAGCTGCCCTCATGTGGTGTCTTGGGAATCTTGGCCAGTTACAGCCACCGCCTGTTGCAGGTGTTCCAGGAGCCATTCTTCTTTACGCTTGCAGCATCACATTCTGCCTGTTGGAGCAGGGAGGATATTTCTAACCTAAATATTTCTGCAATAGAGATTCTGAAGTGAGGCAGCTGTGCCCAGCTGGCGTGTGGTATTCTTGGCTGTAGCCTGTCGTATAGTGGCCGTCACCTCATTGATTAGATCTTAAGCGATTGTCCCAGCCAGGTTTCTGTGACCATGCCCCACGCTTGCTAGATAGCTGTGATTGGACAGTGATTACATTTCGTGGTAGCACAATTTCCGCTCCCTACAGGACGGAGTACAGACCCGGTGTCTAGGAGAGGCATGGACAGGCTTAACCCGCTCCCAGATCACCTCAGGCCCCCCACTACACTCAGATAGGAAGACAAGTTTAAAAAAATAAACAAATAAGTTAATATTGTATACATTGTTAAAAAATTTAAGCTGAACTGACATTAATTCATTCCGTTGAAAGTAGTTCAATGCTGAACAGTAAATGAAATATCTGACTGATATTTCAGTCATGGAAATATCAGACGGAAAGGGGGGGGGGGTGTTCCACAAAGCAGGATTTCTCGGTTAGCTGGGTTTAACTTAGCTAGAAGTCATTGGTTGTCCAATAGAAATGTCCCTTACCTAAACTCTTATTGGACAATCATGAGTTCTAGCTTAAGTTAAACCCAGGTAACCAAGAAATCCTGCTTCATGGAACACCCCCCTGGTTATTGGTTTGCACTGCTTTTGTCCTGTTCACTTCCATTCCTGTTTGTATTTTGGTTCCATGTTATTTATCCTAGTGTAGTAATTCCCAGTGTGTGATAAGTGTTTCTTACTTTCAGTGTTCGTTGGAATTTTCCTAGTCTTGTGTTTATTAGTGTAAATTACTGCACTTGTTGCCTGTTTTCCCTGTGCCATCGTTTTTGGATAATTGTCTTATGCGTCACATCTGCCTCTTCGTTAGCTCAGCTTGCCCTCTTTCTGCTCCTTATTGATTCATCGTGAGTGTTACTGTGTGTTTGTTACTCTCTTCTATTGCACACTCATTTTCCCTGTGTTCTACTTCGGATCGGTATATTCTATGGTTTTTAGTTAAGTCCTCTTTTTTTCTCTCTCTTGGTTTTCTGTCCCCTTGTGGTTCTTTTGTTTTATTATTTTACCCAGTGGGTTCAATAAATCCCTTTGTGTTGGAGCTTTTAAGTGGATGGACATCTTCTTTCCCTGCCTGCACCATGCTGCGTCGCAACAAGATCTAACCCCAGTCACTGGTGCAAACTTAGCTTGCTTAAGATTATAGCGTAGCCTTTAGGTTTTTTTGGCACCCAAAGGCTTTGTATTGCATATGTGTGGTCTTTTTGTGCAAACTAAAGTTAGGATATACAAAGTTAAAAACAGACTTCAAGTTGGTTGTGCTGCCCGTAATTCTGACAGTCAGTTTGTCATTTGCTTCATCAATGAATGTTTTAACATAGAAGTATTACACTTGGTGAGTTAATCTGCATATGCACGTACACTGTGTAAGGCTGGAGGCCTTGCAGGCCCCGTCGGTCTGAGCTCTGGCAAGCCTGTAATGCTCCACCCAGTGTCCTGAAGCAAAGGTCCACCGGCTCCGACAAGACTGGACCCAAATCACCTGATCACCACATCAAAAGGGACACCTCCCCCCACTGGGCGGCCAGAACCCCACAGCCAAATTCTAGCGACAAGGCCTGGCTGCGTCAAAACACAGGTGCATCCTACATTCACTAACTCACACTAACACAGGAGGTATACATTAGGGACACATACACCCATGTTTGATCTCGTTTGAATGGTCACAGTACGACGGGCACAATACTCTCAACCTTAAAGCTGTCATGGTTCTGGACGGCACAGGAACGGGAACGGGGCATGGTGCACAAAGAAGGGGCGGGCGACCCACTTGCGGCTCCAGCAAACAAAACAGGGTTTATTAAACAAAACAGAAAACACAACAAAACCAAAAAGACCACGAGGGGTCAAAACTAAAACAGGGAGGAATTAACTAAACTAAATAACACACAAGGAAAACTAACTAGCACGACACTAAAGTAAAACCAGAGACAAGACTAGACAAGGGCATAGATGACGTAGACAAACCATAGACGAGCGTAGACCTCAGAGACACGAGCTAGACATGAGACACGAGCTAGACATGAGACACGAGCTAGACATGAG